TATGGTCTTCGTTCACAATTTAACATTGGAACCGACAGATATTGTTATATGGATTTGTTGAATAACACTCTTCGTTCATTATTATCTTTCTTATTCTTATAAATATGTTTTAGTCGCAACTACTACTCTACTACTACTACTACTACTACTACTACTACTACTACTACTACTACTACTACTACTACCGATAAAATAATAATAATATTATTTGAATCAGCAGTTGTAGTAGAGGTATCAGTGAAAATAATTTAATCAAGACACCAGCACAATACAAGCAAAAATTTCAAAAGCCGTCCTAATAGATAGTAATAAACCCCATCTAAACAGCTAACAACAACGAATGATAACAACTGAATTCAGTAACACTGAAGAACAAGGAATGGCTGCAAGGAGGCTGAAGAATACGGCAGTAGCTAATAAACTTTGCCGAAGAACTTAGTTTCGTCTTAAGAAACTATATAAACCAAACCTACATGAAAATGATTTATAAAAAATCGAAATAAAGCCTTATCTTTGTGATGAATTCAAATAATAACAGTTCCATTAGATTTTTATGATTAACTTGGATAGAAATTCTCTCCTCAACTAATTGAACCATCGCCAGAAAATTCTAGAATGAAAAACTAAAAAGGCAAACTTTAAATTGGTTAATGCCAACAATTCGGTAGAATTCATACAATACTGTATAAAATATGGTCTCCTTCATATATATATAGAGATATGTATATTTACATTGGTATGCCCTATATAAAGTAGTCTTACATTTCTTAATAAAAACTTTAGCATCCGAAATGATGATGAATTTAAATAACAATAATAATTATTAATAATTATATTAATATATGATTTAGAAGTTAATATGAATAATTGTAATAACAATAATAATAATAATTGTTGTTGCTGTTGCAGTTGCAGTGATGACGTCTTTCCTTTAAACAACAACAACAACAATGATGAAAACAATAAACTCTACAACAACATCATCAACAACAACAACAACTTTGAAAGCATCAACAACAATAACTTTGAAAACATCAACATCAACAACAACAACTTTGAAAACATTAACATCAACAACAACAACTTTGAAAACATCAACATCAACAACAACATTAAAAACATCAAAAACAACAGCAGCAGCAGTGGCAACAACAATTTACTTAACGGTCAATTATTATTAACGATAAACTCATCAACTCAGTCACTAAATTGCATCTGCAAATGTCGCAACAACAACAACAACAGCAACATCAACTTTTGTTGCAGCAACAACAACAACGTCAACTTTTGTTGCAGCAACAACAACGACAACAAACTCCACAACAACAACAACAATGTCGTTGATTATTGCATCGATACAATTGAAAGCTCTCTCGGACAGCACAAGTTAAAAGTTTGTCCCTTCATGATTGTTATTGTTATTATTGCTATTATTATTATTATTGCTATTATTAGTATTGGTAGTAAAAGTAGTAGTAGTTATGTAGTAGTAGTAGTAGTAGTAGTAGTAGTAGTAGTAGTAGTAGTAGTAGTAGTAGTAGTATCGGTGTCATCATAAAAATGATTTTTTGGAAAATTGCTAGTACACTACAGATACATACATAACCAATTTCGTTTCATTGAACATTGATACAATCATCATCGTCGTCGTCATCATCATCATCATCATCAATTCTACAACCATCATCATCGTTACCATCATCATCATCAGTGTCCGGAGAGGACGATATTAGAAGCTTTACTCACAACCCCCTCCCTGAAACGTCACCATCTCTCCCCCACTCACCTCCTCATCCATCACTCACCGACCATCACCATCTCTTTTCTCATTCTCTTCTTCGTCTTTCTCTCCATCGGGCCGTGTCTCCGAGGCCTGGGGCAAAAAATCAGGGTAACGTCATCCAAGAATAATAATAATAATAATTACAATAACTATAAACTTAATAATAACGACAACAACAACAACAATAATAATAATTATAATAATTACAATACTAGTAGTAGTAGTAATAGTAGTAGTAGTTGTAGTAGTAGTAGTAGTAGTAGTAGTAGCAGTAGTAGTAGTAGTAGTAGTAGTAGTAATAGTAGTAGTAGTAGTAGTAGTAGCAGCAGCAGTAGTAGTAGTAGTAGTAATAGTAGTAGTAGTAGTGCAAATAATGATAATAATAATAAAGTGGAGGAAGCCACAAATACTGATGTATTATACATGAATAAAACACCGATGAATGGAGAAAGATTACATAAAATGATGACAACAACAACAACAACAACAACAACAATAACAGTAACAACAATAACAACAACAAAAATAACAATAATAACAACAACAGCCTCACAGATGTTTGCTCTATTAGTAACCGGTCAATTAACTAAAACGCTAATGACAAAAATGAAGTCATTTTCAGCAGCAGCAGTAACAACAACAACAACAACAACATCATCATCATTTTCAGCATCATCATCATCATCAACGTCATCATTATCAACAACAACATCATCGTCATCATTATCATCACGATCAACGTCATCATTATCAACAACAACATCGACAACGTCATCATCATCAACAACAGCAGCATCATCATCATCATTGACTACAGCAACAATAACAAAAATAAATCACCAGGATCTTCATCATCGCCGCCGTTCTAATAACAATATCACCTTTAGAGTTAATAACAATAATAATAATAATAATGATAATTATAATAATAATAATGATGATGATAATAATAATAATAATAATGATAATAATAATAATAGTCAATCAACGGTAGCAATTTCATCATCTTTATCGTCGTCATCATCATCAACAAAAACAGCAACAAAGTCATCGTCATCAACACCATCATCATCATCATCATCGACATCATCATCATCATCATCAACAACACTCTCATATTATGACTCTGCTGAAGATTACGCCGATTATGATGACGATAATAATGATGATGATGATGATGATGATGATGATGATGACGATGATGATGATGACGACGATGGTGACAATATTGATAACGTGAATGATGATGAAATTGATGATGGTGACGATGAAAAAGTTTTCCATAACCACAATCAAAGTCATGATGACGTCAACAACAACAACAACAACATTAACATCATTAACAAAAACAACATCAACAACAAAAAAATCATCGTCAACAACAACAACAACAACATTAACATCATTAACAAAAACAACATCAACAACAAAAAAATTATCAACAACAACAACAACGTCATCATTAAGACATCGTGGTCAGATTATATAAATGGCTTCATACTATGGATGATAACTTTACTCTTCTACTCATTACTAATCATATGGAAAAGAAAAAAGGTTATCACCATCATCATCGTCATCATCATCATCGTCTTCGTCGTCTTCGTCGTCATCATCATTACTATTATTTTTATTATCATTATCAACTCTATCCTCATCTAAAAACCACTCTTGAATAATATAATTAAACGTAAAATAATTTAATTATAACTATAATTAACAACAACAACAATAATAACAACAATAATAATAATGATAATAATAATGGTGATAATAATAACTGTTGTTTGTTGTAATTATAACCACAGATAAAAGAGAGCATAGAACAAAGAGTGGGGTTGATTAACGAGCGAATGTCAAATTTTCAACTCATGGTTGCCGTTGAACAACTAAATTTCATTGATTGCAATAAATATTTAGTATCTTTTGTTGTTGTTGTTGTTATTGTTGTAGTAGTAGTAGTAGTAGTAGTAGTAGTAGTAGTAGTAGTTGTAGTGGTAGAAGTAGTAGTTGTTGTTGTTGTAGTAGTTGTTGTTGTAGTAGTTGTTGTTGTAGCAGTTGTTGTTGTAGTAGTAGTTGTTGTAGTAGTTGTTGTTGTAGTAGTTGTTGTTGTAGTAGTTGTTGTTGTTGACGATGACGACGTCGACGATTATGATGGCAAATTTTTGTACTGATTCTTTAACGATTTGAAAACAACAACAACAACAACAATATAACAACAACAACAACAATATCAACAACCGCAACAACTACAACAACAACAATAATAATAATAATAACAACAACAAAATAATAGTATCACTTCATGTATTACAATTACGAACCGTGCAAGGTAAACATTGATGTTGTTGTTGGTGTCGACGGTGTTATTATTATTATTATTATTATTGTTGTTATTGTTGTTGTTGTTATTATTGATGTTATTAATGTTATACATATATATATATATATATATATATATATATGCACATATATATTTTTTTCTCAATAGCTTCAATTACGTAGCTACTTCTTCAATGACGCCAACAACATTTGTGATAACTACATCAACAACAACAACAACAACAACAGCAATAATAATAATAACAATAATAATAACACCTATAATAATAATAATGATAATAATAACATTAATCAAAGAAGCCGTGAAATTATTATGGACGTAAACCAACTAGCAAATAATAATAATAATAATAATAATAATAATAATAATAATAATAATAATAATAATAATAATAATAATAATAATAACATCAATAACCTTATCAATAATAATAATAATTTTGACTTCGATATATACACACAGGTATGTATAAATATATCCTACTTATAAATATATATACATTTATATTTTTAAAATAAATACTAGTCCTTATTAATTATCATAATTTATTCATTCGCTTGCATAAATTTGCATAAATTAACATAAATTTTTACCAGTTAAAGTTCGAGTATATCGTCCGTAAGATGTCAGGCAAGTATTCTAGTTTATTATGCCGCATGAAATTTGACGAGAATAACTTTAACAATAACAACAACAATAATAATAATAATAATAATAATAATAATAATAATAATAACAATAATAATAACAATAATAACAATTATAATAATGATAAAGACAAAAATGAGTGTGAAAGAGATGAAGAGATGTCAATAGATGCGATAGGGACTTCTCGTCATCATCATCATTATCGTTGTCATCATCATCATCAGCAACAGCAGCGGCAGCAACAGCAGCAACAGCTGTTAGAGCTGTTTCAATTGACGCCTCTGCAATTTTTGCCGTTAAAAACAACTGCATCATCAACAACCTCAACCTCAACAAAAACAACATCAATAACTACATCAGCAACAACATCATCATCATCATCATTAACAACAACAACAACATCATCATCATTAACAGCAACAACTGCAACAACAACTGCAACAACAACAACTGCAACAACACACAAAGCATTTGACACGAGCCATTATGTCATCGTCAACAATACACCGTGTTTTTGTCAGTACGTCATTCGGAATACTAAAATGCTGTGGTAGAAGTAGTAGTAGCAGCAGCAGCAGCAGCAACCACAGCAGAAGCTGCAACAGTAGTAGCAGTAGTAGTAATACCTTAATATCCTTCGATATATTCCATCCAATTTAGCTCTAATGCAAATTTTTATGACATATTTTTGCATTTTTTTTTTATAAATAAAGTTTTACGTTTTTGAAATAAAATCAAATTAAACAGTTTTTAAGCTTTTAAACATTAATTTTTTATATGTTTTTATTAAAACCCTTTGTTTTACAATTAGGCTGCTAGTACTCAACATGTCAAAATAAAATAAAATGTATTCGTGTCAGTATTTTCTTATATAAATAAATTGCGCGTGTATACATTTATGTAAATTGTATTTAGAGATGTATTTGTATGTTTATATGTTGTAGTTAATGTTGTATTTTGAATTATATGTCACGTATTATGTAGAGTTGGTTCAGTTTCAATTCATGGCAATGTAGTTAAAACTAAAATCTACTTTTCAACAATTCTTACTTAGATTACTTTTTCATTTTTTGTTTTTGAGGTAAAAATTTGTTAAAAAAAGCTTGAAAATGCTACGAAAGTGTCTCTTTCGAGCGGTTAGTTTTTTGATTTTACATTTGATAAAATGTCATTCATAAAATTCCGATCATTAGATCTAAATTGTCACTTTTTTTATTACAAAATTTACCGGTTGTCAATTTTGACAATTTTTCTCTGAAAAAATAACCAATGTAAAATTATTTACGTAAGTTAAGTAGTCAGTAATTTTTATAACTACTACCTAACTTTACAAATTAGTAAATAATATAACTTTACATGCATGCGTTGTTTAATTTTAATTAGAATTATCAGTTATGGATTAGTTAATTAATTAATAATTTAAATTAAAAAAGCTTGCTATAAAAGTATTATAAGTACTATTTACAAACTTTCATTTTGTTAGAACATCATCATTCACTGATTTACAAAAACTAATTGAAAAATTTGCCGACAGGGGGCCCGTTTCGTGATTAGGAAGGCTTCTACAGGGGCCAGCACAGAGGCCCCGGCTATTTCTGAGAGGGCAAGTTTAAAAGGAGCCAAGACTGTTTTGACTGGAGAACGAGGTAAAATAAATAATAAATAATAATTTTCATTACTATTTTATTATTATTGTTTTATTAATAGGTGATTTAATAAAATTAGTACCTGAAAAAAGCATTAATTAAATATTCTTTCATTCATTATTGTTTTAACTTTGACAGTTTTAAACTCTAAATAAATTAAAATTATATAACCTTTACTATTTGTAAAGTATATCCAGTGGTAATTTGATCATAATTTATTTTTATTTTGTTTCATTTTATAATTATAATTTTTTTTTAAATTCTAGGTATCAACAAAGTTACCCTCTTGGGTCGAGTGGGCAGAGATTCGGAGGTCCGGGGCTCGGAGTTGAACCCGGTAACTGTGTTTCCACTGGCAACTTCTTACACTTTGAGGACCAAAGATGGTGGAGAAGTGTTTTTTTAAATTTCATTATTTTTGTATTTTTCTTATTAACAATAATAACTAACAAACACTTAATCAACAACAACTACAACATCATCATCAACAACTACAAAATCATCATCAACTACAACATCATCATCAGGAGATTATGTCCAGAAAACAGAGTGGCATAGAATCAGTGTTTTCAGACCTGTTTTAAAAGATATTGTTGCCCAAACTGTCAAGAAAGGGTTTGAATGAATGAGTTTATTTCTTCTTTCATTCATTCATTCGTTCGTTCGTTTTTTTTCCAATTCATTTTTCTATTCATTCATTTGTCATCCCACTCTACTAACAATTTAATATCCATCATAATTTTGCTTTTTCATTCACTCATTCATTCGCATATATACTCATTCATCCATCCATTCATTCATCCATCCATCTATTCATTCATTCATTCATCCATTCATTCATTTTCAGGGATAGAGTGTATGTAACAGGTAGCATAAACTACAGCCAGTTTGTTGATAAGAATAATGCCACTCAAAGAATTGCTAGTATTATTGCCGGTAATAGTAGTATCTTATCCATTTTTTCTTAATTCTTTCATTCATTCATTCTTTCATTCATTCATTCATCCATCCATTCATCTATTAATTCTTTCCAGACGATGTTATAAGCATAAACAGTGCCCATTCAAGAGTGTCAAGTGCTAAAGATGTTGATGAGGATGATGAAGAGTCGCACGGTTGATTGATTGATTGATTGGTTTGTTGATTGGTTTGTTGATTGATTGATTGGTTGATTGATTGATTGACATATTGATTGATTAGTTGATTGATTGATTGACTATAATCGTGATTAAATCTTTTTTTGAATTGGAATAAACCGCAAAAATCGTGTCCATTATTATGTATACTTGATAAAACTAAAAGTGAATTTACGTCCTTGCTATCCTTGCAGTATTTAGTATCTTTCTTTCACGTGTAGTAGTACTAATACAGGTGTATAAACAAAGGATATTACCTGTACGTGTTTGGCAATCGTTTGATTTGAAATTAACTGCACTCGGACTTTATAGTTCTATTATTTTTTTAAAATTATAATTCTCTATAATTATTATTTGTTATTATCATTATTATTGTCCGCTGTCATTATTATTCTTATCTTATTTCTAAATTTAATTAAAATTCACTAATTAGGCAATAAGAGAATAACTTCTCTATATCTCTTCTAGCTTTTATGTACTATACTAAATTCTTATAGCGAAATAGATATACCACACAACTCTGTATATAAATGAATAATAATAACAACATTAATAATAATTATTCCATAGTAACAACAACAGTAATAATAATAATAGACAGCTTAACGACGTTAAATGAATGTGATTAATGAGCAATAATAATAATTTTATTATTAATTATATTAAAATAACAATAGCAGAGGTATAAAATAATAATAACCTTTAAGCATCAACAACAGAACCCCGACAACGTTAACAACAACCTCGTAGCATCAGCAACAAAAGAAACCCAAAAACCGCAAAAATGTCTCATAAGCATCAGCAGCTACATGAACGTGAGAAAGAAATCCTATCGACGTCAACCACCATGACCTTCACCTCCAAAAATCTTCCAAGCCCCAACGCCCCACAGAACTTCCCAGGCCCCGCCCCAAACGACGAAAACCTCGAATTAGTGCAACAACAAATGAAATTCGTGGCCCACCAGCAACAGAGGTCAACGCCACCACGTTGTCACCCCATTTCTATTTATATCTTAGTACAGTCTCTAGGGTGTCTTCTGACCGGGTTAACGATGCTGATCACAGCCCATTGGCCAGGAACTGGGTCACGAAGTTCGGAGGTTCTAAAAATAGTCGGGCCGGTTTTAATTGCCATTGGAGCTCTGTTGTTTGTTATTGGAATTCTATTGGCCAGGTTTGTTTGCTGGTTGACTGGGTTGGTGGGTGACATGAGGGTGACGACTACGACGATGATGATGACGATGTAGATACTTAGGATGATGAAGATGACGACGACGATGACGATGATGATGATGATGATGTAGGTAGTTGTGTAATTACAGGTTCCTTAGAAAGAAAGAGGTGAAAAAATGGAACAAGAAGGTCTCACAGATTGTGCAGTCAGCGTCCAGACAGTGCGTCCTTACACTATTTAAATTATATAACTATACATTATATATTATGTTTGTGTTTGTGTGTGTGTGTGTGTGTGTGTGTGTGTGTGTGTGTGTGTGTGTGTGTGTGTGTGTGTGTGTGTGTGTGTGTGATGCGTCGTTCGATGACGATGGCTGTAATGAATAAATAATTAATTTAACAAAAACAATTATGATAATTATAATTATAGTAATAATAATTATTATTATTATAATTTCGACAGGGTACTAGACCAATCAGCAACAATGCAGCAGCAGAGCAGACAGCAGCTGCAATCACGATCGCAGCAGCAGCCCAGACCAACCGCAGGCCCTGGATCTGAAGAAGAACGCATAGAGCTATTAAGCTCCCCGGACAGCATAGATAAAAAAATGCTGGGTGGCAAAATGGCGGCTGCTTCTTCTTCCGGTAGTGACGCTTTCGTTGCTATGGGCGATAATGACGATGTGCCGGAAGCTGTGAGGATGATGAAGAAGAGGACGAAGAAGAAGCCGGGAGATGGTTAGAAGGATGGAGGAATGAGTGAATGAATGAATGCATCATCGTCAAATCATCATCATCAAAACATCATCATCGTCGTCGTCCTCATCATCATCATTATAAATAAGTCAACAAATTTGTTTCATTCTAATTTGAACCACAGCCTCTTCAAGTTTCGAGAACCTCCAATCAGTGGACGAAGAACTAGGTCAAGGCCACAGATCTGGGTCACGTGAACTTTACAAAACAGGGAGAGATAAATCTAGATCGAGAGAAGAGATTCAGGAGAGAGAGAATGAGGAAGAGGAAGAATACATGACAGGCCGCAAAAGAATCGTCACAAAAACGACCACAGTTGTGAAGACAACCACCACGAAAACTAAACCGGAAATTAAAAGTAGACCCGATACGAAACCGCCATCTGTCCCAGATTCCCCGAGACTTAGGATCAAGATAAAAGCTACACCCGGAACCCAAGTCAACGTTCGCCACAGCGGAACTGAAAGCGAAAGTGAGGATCCAAAACAGAAAGCGAAAGCCCAAGAAAAACCAAAGCCAAAACCGAAACCCAAGCCAAAAATTGGTGGGGGCATGGAAGGAACTGACATTTAGAGTTCCTGGCGGTGGTAATAGAAAGAGAAGTTAACGATGAAAGTGGTTGTAATGGTGATGATGACCGTTAGAATGATTTTCATGATGGTTATGATGATGAAGATGGGGCGATGTTGTTGATTGCATAGCATTTTGGAAGATCAGTTTATTCATATGGAGAGCTGTTTTTTTTATTATTATTATTATTATTATCATTACTTTTTATGACGGACATTTTTTTCTGATTTTATTTTATTATTCAACTTTTTCGCACCTCCATACCCACTCTTACTTACGCGTTTAAAATACCTGTGGTTTTAGAGGCCTTTATATGATAGGAAAAAGAGATAATTTAAAATTGAAATCACGTTTTTGTAGTGTTTAATCAATATATATATATGTGTGTGTTTGTGTGTGTGTGTGTGTTCGTGTGTGCGTGTGCGTGTGTGTGTGTATGGGTGTAAGTCTAATTATATTTTTTACCGTGCATCAACTATTCTTCAAATTTTTTTTTCAACTTTCCTTTTACTCTAGAGCAGGAGTGGGCAAACTTTTTGCTGTGAGGGCCGCATTGAGAACAATTTTATTTTTGAAGGGCCGCATGTGTACTTAAATAGCAAATTTTTTCGACCCGGGGAGAATTTTTTAAGATTTGTGGCTCCTTTTTTTGGTCATAATGTCTGGTTGACGACCTTTTATTAAGCGAGCAAGGTCACGCGGGCGGGCCACATAAAATAGCTTTGCGGGCCGCATGTGGCCCGCGGGCCGTAGTTTGCCCACCCCTGCTCTAGAGACTGCGAGTGCAATTGTAATTACAACCATAATAATAGTTATAATTATTATAATTATATAAATAATAACAATAACAATGATGTCGTTAAATTAAACTATGTTATTAATAATTAGCTTAGCAACTCGAAAAAGTTTATATATAGATATATATAGATATATATATATATATATATATGTGTGTGTGTGTGTGTGTGTACGTGTTTGTGTGCTTGTGCGTGTGTGTGTGTGTTTGGGCCCACCTAAAAACCTAAGAATATAAGAAATAGTCTTTTACGTGATTATTCGTTTTCCGAAAGCAGCCAAAAATTTATTCAAAGTCGTGCGTCAGTTAACTCGTTTGTGTGCTAGTGTAGGCGGGTTTTATTCAGGAATTTGTGACGTCACAAATGACGATGACGTTGGCGGTGATGATGATGATGATGGCTACGACGACGAAGATGATGATGAAAAAAGATTTTTGTCATTACAAATATAAGGCGGAAACAAATTTAAACTTTGCAGAATAAAATTTCAAGCCAATCAACACACCTTCGTACAGGCATACATGCATGCACGCACACACACAGACATACACAGATTAACATGCTTCTATTAGTAAAACACAAGATATTTGCATGCCTGACTATTATGTGTCAAATAATTCCAAATAAACATAATGACCTTATATATATATAAAGAGAGAGAGAGAGAGAGAGAGAGAGAGAGTAAAAGAGAGAAAGAGAGAGATAAAGTTATGCATGTACATATAGTTTATCATGTCTGTAGATGTATACATACACATGTGAGATGATCGCATACCTTTGCTCACCTGGACAATATATATAACTTTGATCAAAGTGTTTTTATAGGCTGACATTAAAATATGTATGTACTTTTTTTGAAATTTTCTCTCTCTTGTTTTTTATCTCTTTTTTTCTCTCTTTCTCTCTCTCTTTCTCTCTCTCTCTCTCTCTCTATATATATATAAATATAGATGTGTGTGTGTCTGTGTGTGTATATATACATATATACAAGTGTTTTTTTGGTGTATGTATGCTATGCATTTATGAATGTGAGTGCGTACATTGTGTGTGTGTGTATGTGTGTGTGTGTGTGTGTGTGTGTATTTATGTATGTGCGTGTTTATATTTGTGTGTGTGTTTGTGTGTGTGTGTGTGTGTGTGTGTGTGTGTGTGTGTGTGTGTGACGCATATTAAGCGAGTGATTAATATTAGGCAGGTATAGTTTATTTATAACCAAATACCAAGTTTCACGTCGCTATCAAATGAATGAATGAATGAATGAATGATGAATGGGTGGAATGATCGAAGAATAAATAAATAAAAGAACGACAGAACGAAGAAATAAAGAATTGGATGAATAATAAACGAGTGAATGAATAAATTGTTAAGTGTACGTGTAATCAAAGCTCATTTGTATCTATGCATTATATATACAATGCATACATACATACATACATACATATATACATACAGTATTTTAATTTCAAAACATACTTGCCAATGAGAAAACTGGTATGTTATTATATTTAAGGCCTGTCTTCATTAACTTGACTAGTGAATAATAACTATTAATATAATTATAACCATTATCTATAATTATATTTAATTATTTTAATAATATCAATAATAATAAGTAGGATATTCTCAGCGAAGTAAAGTAAAATTGATAATTTAAATTAATAAAAATGTTTTGTGGAAAATGCGAATTAGCGATTTTGGCGAGTTTATCAATTCACGGATTATAAATACGAATAATAATTAATCGAATAGTAGAATAGCGAATTTCACCGAATATACATCTGGACCCTTACATTAAGTCGAGTTGTAACACCTATTTGTCGGTATAACCGATTTTATAGATAGGATTAATTGTCGAATTTTCACACACACACACGTACCGACGATTGTTTGGATTATACTTACGAATATTCACTACTAAAAAGGTCGGATAATTAGTTATTTACTCATAATTATAATTAAATTATAATCTAAGAATTAATTATAATTAAAGTATTAATTATAATTAAGTTACAATTAAAGTATTAATTATAATTAAAGTATTTATTATAATTAAATTATAATTAAAGTATTAGTCATAAGTTCAATTATAATTAATTTATAATTAAAGTATTAATTATAATTAAATTATAATTAAAGTATTAATTATAATTTAATTATAATTAAAGTATTAATTATAATTAAATTATAATTAAAGTATTAATTATAATTTAATTATAATTAAAGTATTAATTATAATTTAATTATAATTAAAGTATTAATTATAATTTAATTATAATTAAAGTATTAATTATAATTAAATTCTAATTAAAGATGGCGGGAACTATACACGAGGGCGCTGAATTCGGAGTCGGGGATTTTGTCTTACTTACTAACCTGGATATAAATAGTTTCATGGGGAATTTGAAACTAAGGTATCATCATCATCATAGTCATCATCATCATAATCATCATCAGCAGCAGTATTAGTATCGTATCAGTATCAGTATAGAAGTTAATGTCATTGTCATATTGTTCAATGTCATCTCCATCCACTTAACTTTGTTATCATATTTGTTATCGCTGCATCATCGTCATTTATATTGTATTTATATTTCGTTCGTTCGTTCGTTCGTTCGTTCATTCGTTCGTTCGTTCGTTCGTTCGTTCGTTCATTCGTTCGTTCGCTCGTTCTTGCATTCATTCATTATCACGCACAAATCTGGAACTCACTAACTGTAAATTTAAAAAAATTCAACAATATGAGCCGACATGTTTTCAAGAAAAGTTTGAAGCATCATTTGTTTTGACATTTTCAAGTGATTCAATAGGGGCAATACATACATTCATACATGCATACATTCATACATACATACATACATACATACATACATACATACATACATACATACATACATACATACATACATACATTCATACATTCATACATTCATACATACATACATACATACATACATACATACATACATACATACATACATACATACATACATACATACATACATACATACATACATACATACATACATACATACATACATACATACATACATACATACATACATACATGCAGACACACACATACAAACATACTCGAACAATATTGATATTCATGCGGTTGATGATCTCTTGAAAAAATTTGCTTAATAAAAGTTGTCTCTCTCTCTCTTGAGCAATTGTTCTTATTGTTACTGTTGTTCATATTGTTGTTGTTAAAATTATTATTATAATAATAATAATCATAATTATTATTGTTATTATAGTTATAAATATTAATGTTATTATTGTTGTTGTTTTGCTTTATGATTCATTTTACCTGACCGTTTTCTCCATGATTTGTAAATACTTCCTATTATTCACTCATTCGTTCCTTCATTCATATATTTATTCATTCATTCAGTCAGTCATTCATTTACCCATGCATTCATTCATTCATTCATTCAGTCAGTCAATCATTCATTCATTTATTTACCTATGCATTCATTTACCCATGCATCCATTAACCCATACATTCATTCATTCAGACATTCATTCGATCATTCACCCATGCTTTGATTCATTCACACGACAGATTCCAGAAAGGAAAAATCTACACGTACATCGGGGAGGTGGTGGTGTCGGTAAATCCCTATCGTCCGCTGCCCATCTTCGACAAATCTTACGTGGACATGTACAGGGGCAGGGAGATCTACGAACGACCCCCCCACATTTTTGCCGTCGCAGATGCCGCCTACAAGGCCATGAAAAGAAGAAATAAAAATACCTGTATTGTAATCTCGGGTGTGTATGTCTGTGTGTGTCTCTGTGTGTGTGTGAGAAAGAGAGAGAGAAAGAGAGAATGTGTGGGGTGTATGTTGATGGGTGGAACGTTTTTTTGCGGGTGTGGAAGTGTTTTTTGACGTGTGGTTTGTAGTTGCAGATGTTTTTGACCTGTGGGATTTTGCTTGTTGTGGGGTATATTTGCGGTTTATCTAATCAACCAGCCAATCAAATGATCAACCAATCAACCAACTAACTAACCAACCAACTAACCAATCAACCAACCAATCAACCAACCAACCAACCAATCAACCAACCAATCAACCAACCAACCAATCAACCAACCAATCAACCAACCAACCAAGGTGAAAGTGGAGCCGGTAAAACAGAGGCGAGTAAAATAATAATGAAATACATTGCCTCAGTCACCAACGTTGGTGGCCAGAAGGAAGTGGAGAGGTTGTGATAATGATGTTTGTAATAATAATAATTATAATTATATATATAATTATAACAACAGGGTCAAAAATATCCTACTGCAATCAAACTGTATTCTGGAGGCCTTCGGGAACGCTAAAACGAACCGGAACGATAATTCATCCAGGCAAGTCATGGCCGATTAAGTATCATAATTAGAATTAATTATAATATCATAATTAGAATTAATTATAATATTCTAATTAGAACTAATTATAATATTCTAATTAGAACTAATTATAATATTATAATTAGGATTAATTATAATATTTATATATATAATTTATATAATTTTTTCTAGATTTGGAAAATACATGGATATCAATTTTGATTTCAAAGGCGACCCAATAGGCGGTCACATCAATAACTACCTATTGGAAAAGGTTGTTGTTGATGACGTGATCATGTTGTTGTTGTTGTTGTGACTATAAATAAACAATTTGTTCTGTATAATTTTTATATTATTTTAAATCATTATTTTGTACCATCGCCAAACAGTCCAGGGTTGTGTATCAGCAACACGGAGAGCGAAACTTTCATTCATTCTATCAAGTAAATCTCTCTCTCTCTTTTCTTTTTCTCCTTCTTTCTCTTTCTCTCTCTCTCTCTCTCTCTCTCTCTTTCTCTTTCTCTTATCAAAATTAATTATATATATATATACATATTTGTGTGTGCGTGTGTGTGTGTGTACATAACAATACCAACTTTATTTATTCATCTATGTGTTTTTTGCGTGTTAAAATAATATTATCGAGAATGGTACTATACTACTGCTACTACCGCTACTTCTTCTGCTACTACTACTACTACTACTACTACTACTACTACTACTACTAATACTACTACTAATAAAAATAATAATAATAATAAACAGTTACTATCTGGTTGCTCATCCTTGTCGCCTGAGTATGAGTTGGATTCAAATCCCCGTAATTATTACTACTTGTCTCAAGGCGATAGTTCTCAAGTTAGTATTTTTACTTATTATTATTGTTATTACTATTTTTCTTGTAGTAGTAATAGTAGTAGTAGTAGCAGCAGCAGTAGTAGTGATGGTGGTGGTGGTGGTAGTAATTTTATGAAATATTGAAAATCTGACAGGTAAGTTCGTTGAACGATTCGGCTGATTTCAAAGCTGTGAACGAGGCAATGAAGGTCATTGGGTTTTATGACCATTCGAAGACTTTCTGGAGTATTGTAGCTGCTATCATTCACTTGGTTGGTTGCATCTGTCAATCCAATTGTCAATCAACCAATCAATCAATCAGTCAACCGATAAAAAAATTATCCAACCAATCAAACTCCATTCTGCCATCGAACCAATGAAAATCCATCCAACCAGCCAATCAAAACCCATCCAACAAACCGACCAACCAATCAAAATCAGGGCGAAGTAAATTTCACGGAAGTCGGCGATGATGCGCGGATACAAAATCGCAACTTAGTGACCACGGTAAGCCAGCTACTGAGTGTGGAGCCCAGCGAAACGGAAAAAGCTCTGTGCAAGAGGGTTGTGGCCACAAAGGGCGAAGTCGTCGAAAAGGGGCACACCACCGACCAGGCCAAATTTGGCAGGGATGCTTTTGCTAAGGTTTGTCGACTGGTTGAGTAAAGTTATTTCAGTGATTGCCATCTATTCATTCATTTTTTTGATTTATTTATTTGTCTATTTAATTTTTCGTTTGTCTGTTGATTAAGTCAATTGTTGATTAGTTCGTTCGTTCGTTCGTTCGTTCGTTCGTTCGTTCGTTAGTTCGTTCGTTCTTTGTTTACTCATTGTTTTACTCCTTCACTCCTTCAGGCCATTTACGACAGAATGTTTACGGAGATAGTGAAGTGCATAAACAAAGCGATTGACTTGGACAACAACAACAACAACAACAGAAACATGCAGAGCACCGTCATAGGTGTCTTAGACATCTATGGGTTTGAAATCTTCGACAATAACAGGTCTCAACAATGTCTATTATTATTAATTATTATTAATTATTATTGTTATTAATTATTATTAATTATTATTTTATAATTTTTTTTCAACAAAAAAAAGTTTCGAACAGTTCTGCATCAACTACTGCAACGAGAAGCTCCAACAGCTTTTCATTGAGTTGGTTCTAAAGCAGGAGCAAGAGGAATACGAGAGAGAAGGCATACAGTGGCAACATGTATGTTTGTGTGTGTGTGATTGTGTGTGTGTGTATGTGTGATTGTGTGTGCGTATGTGTGTGATTGTTTGTTCATTTACCCACTCCTTCATTCGTTCAGCTGTTCTAAAAATGTATGCTGACTACTTTAACTAAGAGATTTTTTGCGACGATCTAGTTGAATTGAAACGTTGGTCCGTCAATTCATTCACTCGCCATTCATTCCTCTATCCATCAATTCACCTCCTATTCATCTATCAATTCATTCATTCATTCATTCACTCACTCACTCACTCACTCACTCACTCATTCATTCATTCATTCTTTCATTCATTCATTCACTCATTCACTCATTCATCTATCTATTCAAGGTGGACTACTTCAACAACAAAATTATATGCGATCTAGTTGAAGCTCAACACGTTGGCATATTGGCCATCTTGGATGACGCCTGTCACACAGCCGGAAACACCACGGACAAGCAATTCTTAGACGCTCTGTGCAAAAAAATGAAAGATCATAAACACTTTACCAGTAAATCTGTGAGTTTCTGATTGGTTGATTGGTCGGCTGATTGATTATTTAATTGGTTGGTTGATTGATTGATTACTTGATTGGTTGGTCGATTGGTCGGTTGGTTGATTGGTTGGCTGATTGATTGATTATTTGATTGGTTGGTTGATTGATTGATTATTTAATTGGTTGTTTGATTAATTAAATATTTGATTAGTTGGTTGATTGAATGATTAACCGGCGATTGATAACTTTAACTTTTGATTGATGTTTTATCCAATTATTATTCAATAGCTTACGGATAATCAATTTTACAATTAATCAACCGACAAACAAATCACCCAACCAACCAATCGAGTAACCGACCAACCAACCGCTCAACCAATCACAGCTCAGCCCTTCCGACAAAACGATGGAGATTGGTCGAGACTTTCGCATTTTGCACTACGCGGGTCAGGTGACCTACAAAGTTACGGGGTTCATTGATAAGAATAAAGACACTCTCTATCAGGATTTTAAAAGATTGCTCTATGGCAGGTTAGAAAATCGGAAGATAAATCATTCAAAATACTCAACCAATCAACCAGCCAACTAACCAACCAATCAACCAGCCAGTTAACCAACCAACCAATCATCCAACCACTAAATAACTAACCAATCAATCAACCAATTAATCAATCAACTAAGCAACCAATCAATCAATCAATCAACTAACTAATAAATCAATCAATCAACCAAGCAAAAACGAGTTAATCTCTCAAATGTGGCCAGACGGGGCCAAAGAATTGACGGCAATAACCAAGAGACCAGTGACTGCTGGGGTGGATTTTAAAAATTCCATCATCCAATTGGTTGAGAAAAATCTATCGCAAAAAGTTTGTTAATTGCTGATTGGTTGGTTGATTGATTGACTGGTTGTTGATTGGTTGGCTGGCTGATTGACTGTCTGTTGATTATTTGGTTGCCTGGTTGCCGATTGGTTGGTTGTTGATTGGTTGCGAAAAAGCTAGGCTATCGATTGATAGATAGATTGATTGGAAACAATATCAATTGTAGTAGTAGTAGTAGTAGTAGTAGTAGTAGTAGTAGTAGTAGTAGTAGTAGTAGTAGTAGTAGTAGTAGTAGTAGTAGTAGTAGTAGTAGTAGTAGTAGTGGTAGTAGTAATAATAAAAATAATAATAATAATAATGATGATAAGGAACCGTATTACGTGCGATGTATAAAGCCAAACGAAGACAAATCGCCAAATAATTTTAACGACCAAAGATGTCAGCACCAAGTTCTCTATCTAGGTAATTTTATTATAACTATTTATAACTATAATAATAACTAATAATAATTATTCTAATAATTATTCTTATTATTATCAATTGTAGTAGTAGTAGTAGTAGTAGCAGCAATTAAAAATTTAGTAGTTGAAGTAGTTGCAGTGACTGCAGCAGTTGTACTTGCAGAAGCGTTATTATTATTTTTGTTATTAATATTATCAATAATATTAATAATAATAATAATAATTATTATTACTATTTATTATTATTATTATTCAGGTCTGCTAGAGAACGTCAGAGTGAGAAGAGCCGGGTTTGCATTTAGAATGCCGTACGATCGATTCCTAGATAGGTTAGTGATAAAAAGTTTAGCATTCATTCGTTCGTTCATTCATTCGTTCGTTCGTTCGTTCGTTCATTCATTCATTCGTTCATTCATTCATTCATTCACTAACTCATTCATTCATTCACTCATTCATTTATTTAAACCTTTATATAAACATACAACCAACCAACCGGTAATTCATTCATTCACCAAGCAATCAATCAACCATTCAACCAACCAACCAATCAGGTACAAGATGATATGTAGGTCGACCTGGCCCAATTACCGAGGCGGCCAACCGCGTGATGGAGTCAGGAAAATAATTGAGGAGATGGGCTGCAGTAGTGATGTGCAGTTCGGTAATACGAAGGTTTTCATTCGTACGCCTCAAACGGTTTTCAAGTTGGAGAGTGCCAGAGGGGATAAGATCAGCTCTGTGGTCTGTGTCATGTTGCAGAAGGTCGGGTTTTTTTACAGGTTTTGGAAATTTTGGGCTATTTTTTGTCACTTTTTGCTACTAAACAATCAACATATCAATCTGCCGGTTCCAGTCAATCAATCGATCGATCGATCGAACAATCAATCAATCAATCATTCATTTATTCATTCATTCATTCAATCAACCAACCAATCACAGCGATGCAGAGGAATGATTGACCGGAAAAGGGTGAAGTTTTTGAAGGCGTCTAGGACAATACGATTGGCATTCAAACGCTACAAACTGCGGGCTTATGTTCATTCGCTCATACAAGCTTTTCAGTAGGATTTTGGTTTTGTTTGTTTTGTTTGACTGTTTGTTTGTTTGTTTGCTTGATGGTTTGTTCATCAATTTGTTCATTCGTCCAATTAATCAATCATTCAGTCATCCAATCAATCAATCATTCATTCATTCATCTTTACATTCATTCATTCGTTTAGTCATTCAGTGTCAATCGTTCAATCGTTCATTTCATAAATTACACTTTAAATAATAACACTGCTACTACTACTACTAATACTTTTGCTACTACTACAGCTGCTGCTATTGTGGCGACTACTATTACTACCACTACTATGACTACTTAAAGTAATAATAATAAAAGTAGTAGTAGTAGTATTAGTAGTAATAATAATAATAATAATAATATCAGAGGGGTCAAGCAGTCTCCGAATTTCGGGAAGAAGGTCAAGTGGCCGCAACACCCGCCACAGCTTCAAAAAGTGGCCGCTACATTGCAGGCTGCCCATCGCAGGTAATGATGATGATGGTGGTGGTGGTGATGATGATGATGATGATGGCTGTGGTGATGATGATGATGATGATATTGATCATAGTAGTGATTGAAACAGCATTAACGATAATGAAACAACAACAACAACGACAAATGCATCAACAGTATGTAATATCATAGCCACCATATCAACTACACCTATGGCAATAATAGTAACAGCAACAACATTAACATTAACAATAATAATAATAATATCATAACTATAATAATCATACTAATAACAACAACAACAGCAATCATCATAAACATCATCGTCACCAGATGGCGCGCCTTCAAAATCCTTGAGCCAATAGCAGCGAGCGAGAGGCCTATATTTAGAATCAAATTGTTGGCTGGGGAAACCCTGGTAGGCAGACGTAAACGCTGGGGATTCGAAAGGCAGTGGACCGCCAACTACTTAACTAACGTAACTTAACTAATTATAATAATAATAATAATATTGTTGTCGTTATTGTTGTTGTTATTGTTGTTGTTATTATTATTGTAATTATAATATTAACAATATTAATTATGTAATTATAATATAATTATTATTTATGTTTCAGCCTTTGTGGAATGGGAACGCTCAAAACGCCGAAGAAGTATAAGCTTATTCTTCTTATTATTATTATTGTTATTATTATTCTTATTATATATATATATATATATATATATATATATATATTATTATATAAGGAGGTTTTTAGTGTTATTATTGTTATTATTATTGTTATTCTTTTTTTAATATTTAATTCACTAAAGGTTTTAAAGTTTTTGAAAGACAAAGACCAGTTCCAGAAAATTATCTTTGCGTCTCTCGTTAAAAAAGTTTGCCACCGTCATCATCATCATCGTCATCATCGTCATCATCATCATCACTACATCATCATCATCATCATCATTATCATCACTACATCATCATCATCATCATCGCTACATCATCATCATCATCATCATCATCGCTACATCATCATCATCATCGCTACATCATCATCATTATCATCATCACTACATCATCATCATCATCATCATCATCCATTAAACATCATCATCATTACCAGACAAATCGTTTTTGTAAGTCGACAGTTCGAGGCTTAGTTATAACGGAGAAGTTTGTCTACAAACTCGATCCGAAGAAAAAGTACAAAGACATGAGGCCAGAAAAACCTATTGAAACATCTCAAGTGGGTTTTTATTATTATTATTATTATATTAATAATAATAATTATTATTATTATTGGTAGTAGTAGTAGTAGTGGTGGTGGTGGTAGTAGTAGTAGTAGTAGTAGTAGTAGAAGTAGCAGTAGTGGTTGTAATAGTAAAAGTAGAGGTGGTAGTAGTAGTAGTAGTTGTTGTAGTAGTAGTAGTGGTAGTAGTAGTAGTAGTAGTAGAAGTAGCAGTAGTGGTTGTAATAGTAAAAGTAGTAGTAGTAGTAGTAGTAGTAGTAGTAGTAGTAGTAGTAGTGGCGGTGGTGGCGGTGGTAGCGGTAGTAGCAGCATTGTCGTTTTAATTGTTGTTTTATTATTAATTCATGGAGGCAACTTTTTTTTCGAGTAGTATTTCGCTAATCCCGTCTGGAAACCTCACCGACAGATTACAAGACTGACCGTCACTCCCGGGCCGGATTACCTGCTCTGCCTACACCTGAACGATCTCAATGACGTTGTCGTCTGCCTCACTGACGTCACAGTTTTTCCGGATCAGACGAAAGTTAGTGAGGAAATGGAGAAGCTGAAGAAGCTGCAGTCCAGGGATCTGGTTGGGGAGGTGGTCGGTCGAATGATGGATCATTGGATTAGGTTGGTTTGTTGGTTTGTTTTGTTTGTTTGTTTGTTTATTTGCTTGCTTGTTTGTTAGTTTCCTTTGTTTGTTTGTGTGTTTGTATGTATGTTTGTAAGTATTTATGTGATCATGTTGAGTTAATCTATTAACTAACCAACCAACCAGCCAAATAACCAACCAACCAACCAACCAACCACAAAACAGAGCGTACAAAAAGCGCATAGATGTAGCCATACAGACGACATTTGAATGCAATTTCAAAGGGAAACCACGTTTCATATCGGCGGGGACTGCCACAGGGGGCCCGAATCTGGCCAGCCCTGTCTTCCAGAAAGACAAAAATAACAATGGGATATGTCTTAAGTGGCCTGACTCTAGAATGTTCACTGAGACGAATAACTCGTCGTAGCGAGTAGCGATGATGATGACGACGATGACGATGATGATGATGACTGATGTTTTTTTCATCTTGTTTTCGAGAAAACCATTTTTGATTTCAACGAATTTAGTTCTCTTTTTAAAATATCCGCAAGCCTCTTATTTTAAATTATAACAACGATAATAATAATGATAATTGTAAACAATAATAATAATTATAGTTATATTTAATAATTATAGTTATTATTAATAA